CTATTTTTATTGATTTTGAGGGGGGGTTCTCTGTGCCTCCTGGATTTTGATGCCTGTTTCCTTCCCCTAATTAGGAAAGTTCTCTGCTATAATTTGCTCCAATATACCTCTCCCCCTCTCTCTCTTCCTTCTTCTTCTGGGATCCCAATTATTCTAATATTGTTTTGTGTTACGGTATCACTTATCTCTCGAATTCTGCCCTTGTGATCCAGTAGTTGTTTATCTCTCTTTTTCTCAGCTTCTTTATTTTCCATCATTTGGTCTTCTATATCACTAATTCTGTCTTCTGCCTAATTTATCCTAGCAGTTAGAGCCTCCATTTTTGATTGCACCTCATTAATAGCCTTTTTTATTTCAACTTGGTTAGATTTCAGTTCTTTTATTTCTCCAGAAAGGGTTTCTCTAATATATTCCATGCTTTTTTCAAGCCCAGGCAGTATCTTTAAAATCATCAATCTGAACTCTAGTTCCAACATGTTACTAACATCTGTATTGATTAGGTCCCTGGCAGTTGGTACTGTCTCTTGTTCTTTTTTTTTGAGGTGATTTTTTCCATCTTGCCATTTTGTCCAGAGGAGAATAGATGAATGAGAGAACAAAATGCTAAGAGGGTAACAACGACCCCAGAAAAAATACACTAAACAAATCAAAAAAGACCTGAAACCAGGGGAAAAGAGAGGGAAAGAAAGAAAAAAGGGGAAAAAAAAGAGAAAAAGATAAAAACAAACAAACTAAAAAACAGAGTATGATAAATATGATCAGGTTGGTGCATAGATCAGTGCCACACACTAGATTTTGTGCATAATTTGGTCTGTTAGAAGAAAGTGCTTCCCAAAATTTTAAAGAAAGAAAAACTTATGTATGTTCAAAAATAAGGGTAAATACAATGAAGGGATGGAATATGACTGTAAGATGAAAATTATAAAAGATTTTATAAAAGGAATTGATAAGATAAGAAGTTGGTTGAAAAAAGAAAGAAGAGGATTTTAAAAAAGAAAAGGGAGAGAATGTGGTCAGGCAGGAGACTAGAACAAAGCCATACACTAGAGATTTAGGGTATATTTTGATCTGTTAGAAGAAACTGTATCCCAAAATTTTAAAGAGAGAACAACATGTATATATATATATACACACACCAAAAATAAGGTTAACTACTATGAAAGGATAGAATATGATTCTAAAAATGAAAAATAAAGATTTTTCAAAAAAAGGGATTGATATGATGTTGGTTGAAAAAGGGAAAAGGAAAAATTCAAAAAATAAAAAGAAAGTTAAAAAAAATTAACTTTGAAAGACTAAAGAATCACGGGAAAAAGGCCATGAATTCTATGTGCAGTATTCCCCTAGCGCTGGAGTTCTGCTCTTCTCATTGATCGGTAAACTTGGTCTTGGCTGGCTGTTCCTGCTGATCTTCTGGGGGAGGGGGTCATCACAGTGGTTCTCAGATGTCTTTGCTGGAGGCAGAATTGCCCCACCCTTGCCAAGTCTGGGCTAAGTAATCTGCTTGGGTTTGCTCTTGGGAGCTTTTGTTCCCTGCAAGCTTTCTGTACAGCTTGGGGGGATGACAGTCAAAATGGCGGCCTCCCAAACTCCACCCCGGAGGAGCCGAGAACTTGGGGCCCCACTCCTCAGTGAGCCCCCAGAGAAAAACAGTCACTTCTCCCCGGTCTCCGGCTGCACTCTGTGCTCACCCGGTTGTGACCGAGTGTTTCTGTCTTTGGCACCCGACCTCGTGTGGAGTCTCCAAACCCAGCAGATCTCTGTGGTGCGCTCCCACACCACTCCTCCCCAGGGAGGAAGGGGAGTCTCCCCTGATCTGCCGCTTGTTGGGTCCTTGCTGGAAGAACAGTGGCCCAACTGTGCCATGGATCACGGTTTATGGCAACCCCCAGCTGAGAGTCCACTCTTCGTCTCTGTCTCTGCAGCCAGCTTCCCCGCTCTAATACCTGGGAGCTCTGCTGCACTCAGGCACCCCCAGTCTTTCTGTGACCCCAAGGGTCCTGAGACCACACTCTCCCAGTGAGGGTTCCACCCCCCACTTAGCCACTGGTTTGACGTCCCTCAGCAGAGCTGACTTCTAAAATTTCTGATTTTGTGCTCCACTGCTCTATCATTTGCTGGTAGTGGCCTACGGAAGCTCCCTCCTTTGCCATCTATCTTCCTGAATATCACCTTGGATTCACTTCTCTGCACGTCCTACCTTCCAGAAAGTGGTCGCGTTTTGTTCAGAGAGTTGCTGCTATTCTTTTCTTCGATCTCCTGTTGAGTTCATAGGTGTTTAGAATGGTTTGATCTCTATCTAGCTGAATTCCTGGGACCAGACAAAATCCAGGTCTCCTACTCCTCCTCCATCTTGCTCCTCCTTCCACCCTGATTAATTTAAATCTCAGTTTCTATCAATCAATTCCTCAATAAGTTGAATTTTTTTCTCTCAGAAATTAAATTTATTTTTCATCCATATTTCCCCTGTAATTTCCATTTCAGTTTTCTTCAGTTTTAGTCCTGCCATTGAAGTTTTTAGGCTTCAGAGTTTCAATGAAACATCATATACTTGTTATCCCTGTATATCCATGAACTAATCTAGAGCCTTTGTAATTCCATGGGACTTTGTCATGGGTTAGAACAAAGCTGAGTTTCATAGTCTCTTGCCTCATTTGGTGACAGCCTTGCTGTCAGGATCTAAAGTGGAATACTTATACACTATACAAACTCTGCAACAGACTTTGCTGTACAACAGCATTACTCTTACTCTAATGGTTTAGGATTTTAGTCTTTTTCTGCTTTACCACACCCAAGAGTGTAATGAAGGCAGTGCCTTAAATCCATTGGTACTGAAAACTGAGATTGGCTTTTATACATTTATGTATACCCCTAAATCTAACAAACGTATGTGAGTGAAAGTATCAATGAACATTTAATTTTAGTGTTTCTTCAGTGACCTAGAAAGGATAATGCATAGATTTGTGATGCTTATATAATAGCCCCCATTTTACCTACTCTAGGTATTTTTCTTATACAATTTAATTACAGTGAAAAAATATTGGAGTGTGTGTGTATGTGTGTGTGTGTGTAGAGAGAGAGCGAGAGTGTGAGAGAGGGGGATTAGATTACATTGCTTTTAGGAAAGAACATTAATTTGTTGCTTCACATTTGCATCCATAAGAGACATTTGAAGTGACTAAAATATGTCAATTGGAATAATGATTACAAATAATTTACATGTTTTTATGTTAAAGATATTTTTGACACTGTATGCATTATTCAGTGCACAAAAATCTTCAAAACAGACAGTATGGTTCCCTCTGTATAGCAAAGAAAATGCTCAGAGTAGTTTTATTTTCTTCAGTGTACATAGTAAATAAATAGCATAAGCTGTTTTAATGCCTGTAGGTATAGTTTCTTAATTTTTACTGCTGTATAATATTCCACAGCTTGGGTACGCCTCATCCATTCTCTAGAGGATGGGAATTTGCATTGTTTCCAGCTTTTGCTGTTATGAATAGTTCTTTATTAAACATTCTTAGACATGTCTCTGTGCAAAATTGTTCCATGTGTCCTCTCTTCTCTATCATAAACTTTCCTATGAATGGAATTATTGGGCAATAGGATTTGTACAAGTTCAATTTTATATGAGAATTCCAAATTATTTTTCAATATGATTTTAGGAACTGTTTTAAAGATATTTTTGATCTCTACCATCCCGCAAACTTCATGTTGTTATTTTTACTTTCTGCCAATTGAATAGTTGTAGAATATATCCTTGTGACTTTGAAATGCATTTTCCTGCTCTCTAGTGAGCTTAGCTCTTTCCATATTTATTGGCTACATGTTTTATTTATTTGAAATATGTTCTTATGTTTTGTCCATTTTTTTATTGGATCATTTTGTTTTCTTATTGATTTATAGAAATATGTATTTGTTCTTTAAATTATTGCAGATGTCTCAGGATTTGAAGCTTTTCTTTCCACATTCTTTAAGATGTCTTATGATGAAGAGAAGTTCTAGGTTTAGTGCAGTCATACTTACCCATCCACTTTATTATATGTAGAGATTTTTTAAAAATCCATCGTGTCCTTTGTTGATATCTTTCAACCAGTCACAAAGACTTGAGTGATTCGTTCATTGAAGACTTTTCATGTCAACTTCTCTGCACCATGGAAAAATTAGCCCACCTCCTCCATTTATCAGAGTGGTATTTGAAGATAAAAGTGCCCAGTATTTTATAAGTCCTTTGTGGGTGAGTTGTTTGCATTGATGTTATGAGTAATATGAATAATTCTACTTTTCCACAGAACTTCATTCAATCAAAAATAAAATACAATTATTGGATTGGATTATATAAAGTAGGAGCTAAGCATCCCTGGAAGTGGCTGGATGACACACTCTTATCTCAGATGGTGTAAGTTTTCATGTCACAGGAACTGACATGGTAGATTTCCTGCTCCAGAACTTTCCTGCTCAGGAACCGCCTGGTAGATTATAGGTCAAGAATAGGAAAGGATCCTTGGGGACCTGGGGAATATCCTGAATTCCATTTGATCTCGCTTCTCAGATAGGCAACCAAATGCAAATCTCAGGCTTCAGATAGTCCCAAAGAGCATTATTTATTCCCATGTTCTTTATTGGATGATCTTTCCAAATACAGTAACGTGACATTTTGCTTTTGTATCTTTCTCTTGTATGTTCTGTGATACTAGCATGTTCAAGTAATGGCTGCAGGAAATGGTAAAAATATAATGAATGAATAAAACTTGTATCTAAACCAAGCTCTCTCTGTCAGTGCAACTTGTACCTGTTTGCTTGGTATTATTCAAGAACTAAAAAGAAAGAGCTTTTTCCAATAAATCATTTAGTAATCTTGTATCTCTAGTGTGATCACTTAGTGTCTTTCATGCTATTATTTTACACAAATCCACATAATTTCTGGTAGTCTTGTCTCACTGGTAAATCCCATAGATTTGCTGGTTTGATGTCCAGGAAACTAGTTTAGAAAATGAAGAAAAATGATTTGTCATAACTAAGCTAAGTAACATAAGGGAGATTATGAGAGACATTGGGCTATTTAACATGCTGTTTACTGATTGCCCATAATATGCCAGGCACTATTTTAGGCATTGAAGCTACAGTGATGAATAAAACAGGTAACCGTATCCTCCTTTATGGATATTACATTCTAATGCAGGTATGATAGTGTTGGTAGGGATGAGTGAGGACAAACCAAATATGCTAAGTAAATTATATGGCACGTTAGAAGAAGATAAATGCTATGGATTGTTGTGACGTTTCTCACTTTTTTCTATATCACAATGTCTTTTGTGTATGAAGGTAAGAGGAAGAGATTTTACTGTTTTAAATGGGGGTTCTCAGAGACAGTGTCCTTGAGATATGATGTTTGTATAGTATCTTGAATGAGCAAGCCCTGTGGATTACCTGATGGGACAGCATCCTAGCAGTAGAAACAGCTAGTGTAAAGACTCTGAGGTAGGAGTGTATTTGGCCTGCTTGAGGATATAGGAAAAAGGCCTGCAACTCAGAGCAAAGTGAAAAAGGGGGAGAGAAGTAGGTTAGAGAGGTAGTGATGGTGAGAGCAGGAAGGACATTAGAAAAGTTTAAGTACTTGGATTTTTTCATGAGGGCAAAGAGTAGGTATTAGAGGGTTTTGAGCAGAGAAGTGACAAGGCAGGTTTCCTGTTTCAGAGACTCCTTCTGGACACTCTGTTCAGATTAGATGGTGTGTGTTCCTTGGGGTGAGGAGTGGGGAGTAAAAGCTGGGATGCAGGAGACTAAGAGTCTGTTGGATTCATCCAGGTGAGATACAGTGCCTTGATGAAGATGGTAGGGTTTGTGTTGCTATAAAGTGGCCAGATTCCACACTTCTTTCAAAGATGTGTGAGAAGAAAAAAATATGTGTGAGAGAGATTGACAATTCAGGGATGTTTCCAAGGTTTTTGGCCCAGTAATTGTAAGAATGATGTAGCCATTAATGTTAATAAGGCATATTTGGAATTCAGTTTTAGATACAAGTTTAATAAATCTATTAACCAGTTAGCTATGTACGAGGGTGGCACTTGGGGATTGTGATACATGATTAAGAAGTTCAAGTGAGAGGTCTGTGCTAGGGATGCAGATGTTGCATGTCCATTGAAAGAATTGCACATATGTTTTAAATTCGTTATAAATATTACCTGAGAAATGACTTTCTAAAATAAATATATTCTCTGCTGCAGGCATCTCCAACAGAGTTTACCGGATATAAAATGTGGATACCTCAACTCATCAAATATTTTTAGTGCTGATTGTAGTAAACGCTTTCGTTACATTTGTGAAAAGGAGTTCACTGGCCATGATAATTTTTTGTCAAAAAAAAAATAAAAGAATTATTGTCATCAAAGTTTTAGTATTTTCATTCTTTAATAGATATTAGGAAAAAACTCAGGGTATTCAGTCAGATTAGTCAACTATGCTTGATTTATGAAAGATTATGATCTTTCAAACATCCTTCAAGCATAAAAAATAAATTTTATAAATAGTAAGTTATACATCCAAAAAATGAACATATTGTTTGGAAGTTCAAGAACCAATCCATCAAAGAATGTGAAAACAAATTCATTTTTATCGAGTATAAAATTTTATATTTTAAAATATAATTAATGATCTTGATATATTAGGTAATTAATACTTTCACACTGTGCAAAATATGAGATATGAAATAATGAACAATTTCTCTTTATCTATCTTATACCTATTCATCTAGTTCTCTTTTCATGGGCAAACATGTAATAGTTTAGATACTATTCAGACATATTCTAGGAAAGTGCAACCATGTACTGTACATGCTATCTTCTAAACAAAATACTACATAACTACAAATAATAGTATTGCTTCTTTAGGTTTTTGTTTAAAAATAAATCATGCAGTTTGTTCCATATCAGTACCTAAGGAGCTGCATCAGTGTTTGTAAGCAGCTGCAAATACTACATTAAATGGATGTGCCAAAAGTTTTATCTCCAATGAATATTTAGGTTTGCCCAGAATTTTATAATTGTTGAAAAATGCTGGAATGATTAACACTTAATACAGTATAATTTGCCATAGAGCATATATATAGTAAATCTCTAGCAGTGAAATTCCTGTGTCAAAGGTGTGTATATTAAATTTTAATAGACATGTATATATTTCAGTAGAGGTTGTACACCTATCATCTCCACACAGCAACATTCAAGAATTCTGGTTCCTCACTTCTTTACCACCACAGTGTGTTATTGATCTGTTTGATTTTGCCAGATAAAACCTTCACCAATAAAAGGGTTTTCTTGTGTTATTTAAATGTACATTTGTCTATTACTTGTGTGAATGAACATCTCTTTATGGTATTTCTTTTTATTGAAACTAATTGTCCAGGGTCGCCTGGGTGGCTCAGTTGGTTAAGAGTATGACTCTTTATTTCAGCCCAGGGCATGATCTCAGGGTGGTGAGATTGAGCTCTGTGTTGGGCTCCACAATGAATTTGGAGCTTGCTTGAGTTTTTTTCTCTCTTTCCCTCTGCCCTCCTCCCCTGCCCCCACTTCAATCACCGGAGCTCTCTCTCTCTCCAAACAACAGCAACAACAACAAAAAACTATCTCAGGGCACCTGGGTGGCTCAGTTGGTTAAGCATCTGCCTTTGGCTGGGGTCATGACCTCTGGGTCCTGGAATCTAGCCCCATGCTCAGCTCCCTCAGTGGGGAGCCTGCTTCTCCCCCTCCCTCTGCTGCTTTCTCGCTTTGTCAAACAAATACATAAAATCTTAAAACAAACAAAAAGCCAAAAAATTATCTGTCCATGTCTTTGTGGATTAATATGACAAGCCTAATTTTGAGCAAAAGAAACCAGACACAAAATAGCTCATCCTATAAAATTCCATTTATTTCTAAGTTTAAACACCAGATAAATCTAAACTCGGCTCTTAGAAACTAGAACAAATGTTCCTGCCATGTGGATTTATTCCTAAAAGGAACAATATGGGTTATGAATAGTATTTACCATGGTGCAGAGTTAGTCTTAGAAAATAGCAATGTCCAAGGGGCATTTTTCAGGTGCTGATAAAATTGGGTGTCGTAATCTGGGTTCTGGTTACATGGGTGGTATATTTTTCCTTCAGCTGCCATAAGTACACAGCTGGGGTGTCTTTGAACCACATCTATTTGTCTTTCATAGTTCTGGTGGCTAGCAGTTTAAAATGAAGTTGGCAGGGCCAAGTTCTCTTTGAGATTCTTTACTCTGAAAAAATCCTTCCTTGCCTCTTCCCAGCTTCTGGTGGTTGTGGACAATCCTTGGGTGTTTCTTGGCTTGTCTATCACTCTTATCTTTGCTTCTGTCATCACATGGCATTCTTTCTCCATGTCACTGTTCAAATATCCCTCTCTTTATAAGGAGACTCATTTGATTAAGCTCCTCCCAATTGACCTCATTTTAACTTAATTATATCTTTAAAGACCCTATTGCAAAATAAGGTCATATTCACAGGTCGTGGGAATTAGAATTTCAACATATTTATTTTTACCGTTGTTTCTTGTGATTTTGGTGTCATATCTAAAAAATATTGTTACCAAAACCAATGTCAGGAGGTTTTACTCTCTGGAGTTTCATGGTTTCAAGTTTTATGTTTATGTCTTTAATTCATTTTGAGTTAATTTTTGTGAATAGTTTAAGATGAGGGTCCAATTTCACTATTGTGGACATGGTTATCTAGTTTTCTCAACACCAATAATTGAAGAGACCATCCTTTATCCATTGAGTTTTCTTGGCTTACTTGTCAAATGTCAGTTGGCCATATATGCATGGGTTTATTTCTGGGATCTCGATTTTGTTCCATTAGTCACCTCTTTTTATGCCAGTACTATTCTGTTTTGATTACTATAGCCTATAATATAGTTTAAAATCAGGACCTGGGATGTCTCTAGTTTTGCTGTTCATTCTTAGGGTTGCTTTGGCTATTCAAGGTCTTTTGTGGTTTCACACAAGTTTTAGGATTATCTTCTCTCAGTGAATAATGCCATAGGAATTTTGATAGGGATTGCATTGCCTCTGTACATGGTTTCTTGCTGTTGTTGTATATTTCCATTGTAACCTGGGTGGTGCCTGCCTGGGTGGTGCAGTCTGTTAGGCATCCGACTCTTGATTTCAGCTTGGGTCATGATCTTGGGGTTGTGAGATCGAGCCCCAAGTCAGGCTCTGTGCTCAGCAGGGAGTTTATTTAGGACTCTCTCTTGCTTTCTCTCTGCCACTCCTCCCCATGTCTCTCTCTGTCTAAAATAAATAAATTAATAAATCTTAAAAACAAAACAAACAAACAAGAAAACAAAGGATCTCCTATATGTCTATTGGTGTATTTTTCAGCAAAAACTTTTTGGACCAGAAAAGAATGGGAGGATATTCAAATAGACAACAGAAAAAATTGTCAAAGAAGAATAATCTATCTGGCAAGGTCGTCCTTTGGAAGTGAGAGAGAGATAGACATTTCCTCATACAAACAATAGCTAAAGGAGTTCATCACCACCAGACCTGACCCGCAGAGAAATCAGACAGAATCTCAGTAAGGAAATAGACGTCTTAAGCAATACTCTAGATCAGTTGCACATAACAGACATTTAGAGAACACTCTAGCCAAAAAGAATACATATTTTTCACAATTGCACATAGAATATTCTCCAAGATGACACATAGAATGTCAAGGGACTATCTGTAGTTGAAACAATCTTGAAAAAGAAGAACATAGTTGAAGACCTTACACTTCCTCATTTGAAAACTTCTTAGAAAGTTATAATTATCAAAACATAGACCTTCCTTGCAAATGGCAAGATCTCATTCCTTTTGATGGCTGCATAATATTCCATTGTATATATATACCGAACTGGAGGGTGTTATGCTGAGCGAAATAAGTCAATCAGAGAAAGACATGTATCATATGACCTCACTGATATGAGGAATTCTTAATCTCAGGAAACAAACTGAGGGTTGC